AGCCCGAAGACTCGTTCTTGGCGACGACGAAGTTCTTGCTGGTGTACTTGAGCATACTAGAAGAACCCCAAGTTAATCAAAACCATCGTCTTTGCAGCCCTCTGCCTATTCCCTTTGGGAACAGCTTTAGGACTCACCTGAGATGGTGTACGAGGTTCCTTGTGATAACTTCTTTTGGCAGGTTGCCTGGGTTTTCTATAATCTGAGGGTTTCCCCAGAAAGATGCCGTAAGTATCATACCAGAACTGCGCATTGGGTGACAACATCCTTATAGAGGTGAAAGAATCAGCACTTCTTTCAACTTAAGTGCTGAGTGAGTAAAGAAAAGAAAATGAGTCTGATCTCTTTGTGTCGACGTCAGGGTAGTTTCTCTCACTACCACTGGTGTAGCCGCTAGTGTGCAGCATGGAATCTCTCTACGGTTCCACCCGTAGAGCAAAGAGGAAAGCCTTCCTTTAGAAGGTTCTTTGGTCCAGAACACAAAAAGTGTCCACATGACTTTCCCTGTCCACATGTCCAAAGACAAGTACTGGGTGAGCGACATTCATTCGGGGATGTTAAGCCCGTGTCCTCAGTCACATGTTTCCACGCGTGAGCGTTTCAACATTGCCGCTTACGTCTACGGCCCGACAATATCCTTCCCGTGCGCCAGATGTCAGCGCCTCAGAGTGCATGTATCTCTGAGCGGGTCGAGATTATACGGCTACCGTTCATAACAACGGTGACGTGTATGATCAAGTGAGTCGACGACTCCACCCAATCGTTTGTGTCTGGACAGACTCCAACACAGCCGGTCATCCTGGGAAGGGTGCCCCGGCCTGTCTGTACAAAGAGAAAAGAAACGTAAAGCATTGCTTTACGACCAAGCAGCAGACTCAACAAACTATCACAACTCCTATACTCACCTTACTGATAGACTTGAAGGGTAGGACTTGAAGTCGAGGGGTGTAAGTAGAGAGAGATGCAGATACTAAGAATCAACGAAGTTGTTGAGTCTGAGTTCTTAAGCCTCAGACGATGCCCCTTATATACAAGTAATCTAAGACCCCTGACACTACGTAGGACCTATGGTACTCTACATTACTAAGTGCTCATGTGACTACTCGTGACTCGTTACTAATACACTACCATTATGTTTAGTAATACGAGGAATAATGACCGTTGGAGTATCTCCATTAGGCTAAGCTATCCACCAGGTGACATCAT